CCCAAAGTATCTAAAATTTTACAGTAGTTTTGTGAAATACATATACTATTGTTGCATATTTGCTCATTTGTTAATTTCCAGTATAAATTCTTTCCGAGGAACTTCAGCGATACAAGTTCTTTCTTAACTAAAACTAGTTTATTCTTTCTTGATTCAGCTTTATAATACACAGAATTCCCACAGTCATTTTAACTTAACTACTTTTATAAAAACACACTATAATTCACAGGGATTCACACACTTTACATATGGCTTGACTCGATTATCTCTATCTTCAATCTCTCTATCTATGCAGTTTTGCTTTATTTGCCGGGCTTATATACTAAAAAAGAGGGCGCCTGGAATAGACTAGAGTTGCCAGAATCTCATCACGTGTTACTAGCGTCACATGACTTCTGCTGTCGTAACACTATTTGCCTGGTAACTCTTAAAACAACACCCGATTTTACTCCGATTTATGTATTCACCAGTAATATTTCACATAGAAACAACAACATCAGAAAAAACAGAAACAATCCAATTACCATAAAAACACACTTTTCTGAAAACTTTCCCATCTCTGAATGTAATGCACTTCTGTTGAAAAAGTTAAGTAACTTAGATGAAGCTCTTTCTTAAAGATTATTAATATCACAGTTCATTGTTTATTTTTCTGGAATTTTGTGTTGTACATATATATCACATTGTGTTACTTACACCTGCCATATTTTTTCAATATTTAGTTACCTCATCCTCAAACATAATGAGTATCATACTTTTAAGTAGGGATGCATGGGTACCCGGGCAGGTATTTGACTACCTGGTAATACTAGGCATCGGCTGAGTGTCGAAGTTAAAAACACCTAAATCCGGGTAACTGAAAATGGCATCTAAGCGCTAATCTTTGTGGCAACTTACGCGGTACTGAAAGTTTCAGTCAATAATTGATTTAGTGTTCTGAACAACAAAGACTGACCATGTGTTGAAAGTTGGAGATTCGGAGAACAATAGGGGGTTAAGAACAGGTATGGCTTGAGAAGTGGATTTCTGGGGAAGGTGGGGGTTTTCAGAACAGTAGAAGTTAGGGTTTGAGAAGTTGAAAGTTCTGTCAGTGACTATTTCGTTAAATGTAATAAACGTCAATTTTGTTTTTGTTTCTAATTTCTGTGTATGTTGTTTATTTAGAGGGGGAAAGGGAGAGAACCCAGTCCCGGTTGACACTTGGCCCCTACCGAAGTTTAGTGACCCGGATTTTTACTACCCGTGCATCCCTACTTTTAATTATTAAAATTTTTTATTATGTAATAAGTATTTGAATTAAACATCATAATGTATCTTAAAAGAAATGTTTTCCCTTTTTACTGGCAAGAACTTGCAAATTGTTTTCGTAGAGTTAGGAAGTTCTAAAAAAATTTTCTATTTTTTTACTGTTGGTGAATAAAATAATTAGTAGTTTGGTAATTCTTTTTATTAAGGTGAAAGAATCTTTCCTTTAAATCTGTTATTGTTGAAGAAACAGCTGTTTTGGAAAAATCTTGGAACTTTTTGAAATTAAAAGCTTCTATTTTGAACAAAATATTTAAAAAAATGCAATAATGTTGATGGTTCTTCAACTGTTATCTTTTCAAGGTATTTTATCACACAAGGAGTTCTTTATGCTTCAGTTGGTTGCCATCCTTGTGAACTGTTTGATAATGGTTCCAAATATTCTAGGCTCTTTTTCAATTTTTTTAACTATCCAGTAATCAAAACATTGCAATACGTTTTTCATTATTATAATTTTGTATTAATTCAAGTTTATTCAACTTAATCAGTTAAGTGTTACAACTCTTAACAATAATAATCTGAACAGAGTTGTGGTTCTCAAATATTACTATTTTCAGTTATTTTAACTCTCCCAGTAATCAAAATACTTGTTGTTAGACTCAAAGCTTCATATTGTGCCATCTTTACTCTGCCCACTGCAGGTATTGAAACCTGAATTTTATCATTTTAAATTGATTTTTTCACTAGTTGTCTAACTGTACAAAGAAGTATTAAGGAGTTTTTAATTTTTCAAATCTAATGTAGGGTGATAGAAATATCAATAAATATCTGTCTTTTATTTTAGACTTCCTAAGATATAAAGGAATTATAAGAGTAAGTTAGTAAACTTCCAGTATCAAGTAATTTTTGAAGTATGTGCTTAGGTTTTTGTATTGAAACATCAGTTTTTCATTTAAAATTTTTTAACATTAATATTTTATGGACTTAAACCTTAGAATATAATGTAATATTGATCTTAATAATCATATTGTTGGGTTATTGAACTTTTTAAGAAATGAGGTCAGTGATAAATTGAAATTTTAAATATCTTCTATAACAAAATTTGGCAAGAAATGTTTTAAAAACTCAAACTTTTATTTAAATAAGACATGACTAGAATAGTTCATTCACTAATATTTACACCTTGGTCTTGTCAATTTTGTGATATCAAGAAATAGAAAACAGAATTTAATTCTAATGACAGAAATAGAGGTTCAGGTTCTTCATTTAACATAAGGTATTGAATTTTGACATTAATATTCTTTTCTGGAACAACACGAAGTTAACAAAGCTGAGGTTTTTAAATTTTTTTAATTGGAAAAATATTAGATTTATATTAAATGACAAGTTTTTTGTATAATTATAACATGTATAAAGTTGGTTTAATTTCATCAATATAGAAACACATCAAGTTTAATTTAAACATCCTTTCAGTATATCTTGCATAGAATCACAACCATCTGCATTACCGATGTTGGAATGATGTTTGAGAACTTTTAAACTTTTAATTGTTAATGTTTTTATTGGGATGATTTAAACATGCAATTTTAGGAAATTACATTGACATGGACATAGTACATGTAGTCTTATTTTTCTTTTATTAATTAAAAATTAATCCGTTCTGTAAAATTTATAAATAGAAACCTTCAAGATGAAGTTTGAGATGTCTTATTTTTGACACTGATCAAACACAGATGAGACATTATTATGGAACCTCTTCTTCTAGGACAGAAATCTGAGTTGTTTCAACACAAATAAGGTAATAATTCTGTTTTCAGGGGTGACCTCTCAAGAGCTGAGTGGGATCCAGAGCTTCAGAAGGCTGTCTTGACAAAGCAGAAAGTAAGTTTCTTTTCTACATGATTCACTTTCCCATTCAGTGTACTGGGAGGAGAAACCTGATTAGCTGGCCCCTATGTTCTATGGATTTTTTTTTATGTAACTTCATAAAGGACATGCTTTACTTTAGTAAGTTTCCAAATAAGGACAAACTACGTCAACATATCTAAGAAGTCTTTACAAAGGTTATTCTTGCAATGGTACAAACCGCTTGGCTGAAGTTTGGGTGCAGATTGCATCTTTTGCACGTAACTCGTGGTTCCTATGTTGAACTATGCTTGGAAGTAAATGCAAGTATTATTATTGCACTTGTCTCTATGGTATCCCAACCAGCCTGATGAGACCTGGTGTTGGGTGAAAGGCCTTGTTGGCACAGGATGTGGCAGATGTAGTGTGGTTGACTTATTGTAACATATTCACTAAAATGTTCTTAGAATATTGAGCCACTGCAAACTAACCTGCTGTCAGTAAAACAATGTACAGTTGATGTTAAATAAAGAATATTGTTGTTGATCATAACATTCTAACTTGATAATAATTATAGTTAATTTACTTAATCAAATTTACACCATAATAGTCATTGTTCATGGAAGTTGTTAATATAAATAGCACCTAGACCACTACAGTGCCTGTTGTATCCCAGTCAGCCTGATGAACTCTGGTAGTGGGCAAATGGCCTTTTTTGTACTGCTGGATATGGTAGGTGAGATGCAATTCACATATTATATTCTGTTTTGCTTTCATTCTTATTAAGTTCTTAGAAATAACTAGATTTTCTAGTTGTTGAGCTAAGTGTGTTTTTGTGGCTAACAATTTATTTATTGGCCAAGACTTTTAGAGAGACTTAACATCTAAATTGAGTTGGAATTGTGTTTAATTTGCCAACAGAATATATAGAATAATTTTCACTGATAAAATACTGATCTGATCACCATTCTAATTTCCTAAACTTCTGACCCTTTTCACTGATAACATACTGATCTCATCACCATTCTAATATCCTAAGCTTCTAACCCTTTTCTCTGATAACATACTGATCTCATCACCATTCTAATATCCTAAGCTTCTAACCCTTTTCACGGATAACATACTGATCTCATAACCATTCTAATATCCTAAACTTCTAACCCTTTTCACGGATAACATACTGATCTCATAACCATTCTAATATCCTAAACTTCTAACCCTTTTCACGGATAACATACTGATCTCATAACCATTCTAATTTCCTAAAATTTTAACTCTTTTTCACTGATAATATACTGATGTCATCACCATTCTGATATCCTAAGCTTCTTGCCTCCATGTTAATCTTTTTTGTCTTGTTAACCATTTTAGTATGTTAAGTATTTGAGTTAGTAAAGTTAAATCATTAACCCTTTCCAAACCTGAAGGGTGCCACATAGTTTCTTTCCTTTCACAGAAGAAAAACTTAAATTTTGAAAATTAATATGTGGGTGTGGAAATATTTGCAGGTCTGGATAGGGTTAACAGAGTGCAACGTAGTATTGTATTTCACTTTATAAAGCGTAATAAAATAATATTATAGTGAAACAAATGAAGTATGGTAGGATTTGAAGATCACACTATATAGTGTGAAGGACGTAGAAGATCTTATTTGAGACCATTATGGCACTATATATATATATATATATATGTGTGTGTGTGTGTGTGTGTGTATTACATGCTGCTTCAGATATTTATGAGGTAGGCCTATGGATGATTGAATGTGGCTTGCTCTGAAGGTTGGCTAATAAATGAAGTTTGTTTTTTTCAACACACAAAAAGTTAGTCACATTTTATAAGAATAATTTGCTGTAGGACGCCATGACACCCTCAGGTGACATATTCAGCACCCATATGTTTGTTAAATAGTGAATTCACAGCTGTTCAATGATGAAATACCATCAGGAAAAGATATTGAGCTGGTGGACACATCACAACCCTTTCTAAAGAAAAACGTTTTTGTAAAAGTGTGTGTTAAAAGATGAAGAACCAAAAGAAGGAACATTTTGAGGTAGTTGAAAGACTTACACAGCAGAGCATTGAGCAGAGTAGCGAGTTCTGAATGAATTCCCTGAGCAATTCAAAGCAACACCCTTGTTCAAAGAGTGAAGATTTGGTTAGATACCTTTTGACCTAAATAACTGTTGATATGAAGCAATATGTCCTGGATTAATGATATCATAAGTAAAGATTTAAAGTTATCAGAGATTTCTTGAAATCAACAGTCGTGTTCTTCAGAAATATCGATGAGAAAGTTGGAATCACAGTCTGAACAATTATCTGTCTGTCAACGCCCATAATGTGGCTGTAATGGACTTTTTGTTCCTTTAAAAATGTAGACCCATGAAACCAATATTTACAAGACTTGTTGAAAGATTAACTTTATCTTACAGAAGCTTGCTACAATGAGAATTGTGGTTTTGACCAGTAGTGTGTAATCATGACCATTAAACTGAGTACAAGCAAAGATATAAAAAGCATTTCTAAGGGCAGCATGGCACATGATACATCATTTTTATAAAAGGTGATTACTCTTCAGTGGGCTTGATGCATGGTTGTGAAACTTACTTCAGTGTTTAAAAGCATGAAATCATACGGAATTTTTTCACCATGTAACATGTTTTCTAAACATGTTACAGTAATACATAATATAGTATTAATCATGTATTAGATATATATATTCAAATGTGGTCAGTTTGTTGAAAAGTTCAAAATATATGTATATGCCTATTTTTATGCATGTACTGCTCTCATATATATTTTCAATCTAAATATGTAAAAATTTAAGTTGTTTGAAGAATATGCTACCAGTATTTACTTTATAACAAATGTGTAAACACCTGAAGTGTGATTTTTATGACAGCACATCTTATATCTTGCTTCAGTGTTAAACAGATAACTCAAGTATTCTTCATTATTTATTGAACATTTATTGAAGTAAATTTTAATTTATCCATGATAAACAATACAAAATAAATTACATTGACACACAAAGTTAAATATAACAATGTTAAAAAAAATTCCAGTTAAAAAAGTTCCAGTTTATAAGATAAAAATATTGCTAAACAACAGGCTTCTTTAGATCAAACTAAATATAAACGGATTACAAATGTGAGTAAGAATTTCTTTCTGAAAATTCTCACTCATTACTGGTATCTTACACCTTGCTTGTTTATACCCTTCCCTAGTAGTTCAATGGTAAGTCTATGGGCTTATAACTTTAGAGATTGGGTGTCAGTGCCCATGGAGGACACAGCACAGATAACTCCCTGTGTAGCTTTGTGCCGAACTATAAACATACACACCAACCATACAGTGGCTAACAGATGGTCACCAATTAAATTAATGTATTTGTACTGATGTTTCTGAATTAACAAATCTTTTACATGATTTAGATACTAATATCATTAATTTTATTTATATCAACTGTCATTGTTACTCTTAACTATGAAACACGATAGGAAAATATTTGATTTTATGTTTACTCTTTATAGAAATATACCTAAAATATTAATTCAACCATTATAATACTTTTAGACAAAAACCCTATAACCTTTTCAAAGGTAGATCTTTCTTCATCCGGGGTAAGTTTAGAATACTCCTGATAATACTTTTATAATGAGTAAGTAATTTGTTACATTTTCAACTTACCTGAAGTTTATAAAACATACAAGTATCTGAAGTGAAGCTACATACACTACTATAACTGGTTAGATGATTAATAGAAGTTATGTGATTGTCACTTGGTCAGTACACGTATGTGCCTCTGTTTTGTTACTTTCACTGTAGGGTATATTTTATTCTGCCTGTTTGTTTCTGTTAGGGTAAATTGCTACAACACATGGGGCATCAGATGGGGAACCAGACATTACTGTATCCTGAAGAAGCTCTTTTCCTTTTGGATACTGTGAGTAGTTATATGTTTTAAAATAATTCTAAGTAAGACTTTTGTACTTTTCCCATTATTGTATGTGTGTGTGTGTGTGCATCCAAATGTTGTATTTGATTGTAATATTATTACAATAATCTACTCATTTGAACTCTGTCCCACCTAGAGCTACACTTTCCAATTAAGTTTACATGCTAGTTTCCCCTACTGTATTTTTGAGCTATAGCTGCATTCCCCTTCCAATTAAAAATGCACAGTCCTTATTTCAGATTTTTAAGCCTTTAATTTTTTTATTCTATCACTTCAAAGAAAAATCTTGATGTTGTGATACTAACCTTTTTATTTAGAATATACTTCTCAAAGTAGGGAACTGACAACAAACATTTATTGTTATTTAGTATTAAGTATAATATACTTAATACTGTGATATCTACCAAAAAAGGGTTAATTTACAAACACTGTAGACTGCCTACATAGTCAGGTGGAAACGAGTAAGTGAACACTGAACAACAAGTTTATATCCAGTGCTTCATGATATTTTATACTTAATACTGTGATATCTACCAAAAAAGGGTTAATTTACAAACACTGTAGACTGCCTACATAGTCAGGTGGAAACGAGTAAGTGAACACTGAACAACAAGTTTATATCCAGTGCTTCATGATATTTTAATATTACTAAGCACAGGATATAAACCTGTATTTTAGTGATATTGTCCTTACTGTTTGGGTTCCTCCTCCATTATTTGAACCTGTTTATGACAAGGAGGATTTTGATGGGATTTTTTTTCCCCCTCTTCCTAACTATGCCATGCCTTCTCGTGTATCTCCTTGAAGATCTACTAGCCTTACTCTACCTGTTTTAGATATGCTTTTTCAGGTGTGTTCCATTTTCATATGATACCGTTCCTTATATTTTTTTACATAACACCTGTCATTAGGGTCCCTTGTTTTTCCTCCTTCCCCTGACATGCTAAGCATTTTGTTTCTCAGTTGAGGGCAGGTGTTAGTCCATATTTGACCCTTTAGTCTTTGGTTACTCCTTTTCTCATTCAGATACCACGATCTCTCTCTTAACTGTTTTCTCGTACTGGAACCTTCTGTCCCTTACAAGTTTTGTGCCTGGTCTTTCAGGCTTGCTTCAGCATCATATGTATTTTATTGGGTGTTCATAGTTTTTGCCAAACTTCTGCATAGTCTAGAGTTGTGTTTACACCATTTCATGGATGATTGGCTTCTGTCAGCTCATTCTGAATTGAAGTCTTCTTACCTCACATCTGCTGATTACAGTACAGCTTGTGTTGGTTGGATTCTACACTTAGTGAAGTTTCCTTTTGCCTACCTACTGTCTTATCCATTTGGGTGTATTTTTCAACACCCCCCTCCCTTATTTGGGCCTATCCTTCTCCAATTCTTCTCTGTTCACTAGTGGTTTCAGTTCTCCATGCATTTACTGCTTCCTTGGTTTCTGTACAAAAGGTTCTGTTACTTTTGGGGACTTGTACATCTATAGAAGCCCTTATTACTTTGGGTTGGGTACATATGTGTTATCTTCATAGGTCTCTGCACGGCATGTGGAATCTTGCTTGGGATCCCTTGGACTCCTCAGTTACCCTTCCTCCTTCCCTAACAGACTATCGGCATTGGTGGTTGAACAAGGACAGCACAATGGAGTACTGCTTCCTCCACTTTGTCCAGATTTGCCTTGAATCACAGATGCTTCTATCCAAGGTTGGGGAGTGTTGGCCCATCAGCTAGAAACTTCTGGGCAATGGTTTCACATCATAATGTTTTACCATTTCTTCTGCTGTTACAGTACCAACATGTCATGCTCCATTCCGAAAATTGTACCATCGTGGCCTATTTCAATCACTCTGGGGGCACCCCTTACTGTTCCCTTTGTGGTCAAATATTCGACCTCTTTTCTTGGGCCCATATGCTGTGAATAAATCTCCTTGTGTGTCATATTCTGGGTACTTTTCACCCTATTGTGGATCTTTTGTCAAGATCCGACCAACTTTATCCTGTGGAATGGTTTCTTGACCCTCAGGTTTTCAAGTAGCTATGCAATCAGTGGAGTACTTCTCATCTGGATGTTTTTGCCACTTTACTCCAACACCAAGTTTCCTTTTCTTTTTTTTTTTGCCTCCAGTTCTTCATCATCAGACCCTGACAGTGGATTTTCTCAGTCAGACTATTCTTCTTCTACTCTTATGATTTGGGATCATCAGCTGATTTGGTTGGTATGTTCTTCCCTTTTTTTTCTTCCCAAATTCTGTTCCAGGTGTTTTCTCTTAAGATTGGAATACCTTCCCTTTTTTCTGGGAGTGTACCCTCCTTCATCCATTGTGGCATATGGCCTACTCTTCATACATTCATCTCCCACTATCTGTATTGGGTAGCTGTTTCTTCTTTGTCAGGATATTGCCTTTTGCCATCCTTCAAACTTCATTTTGGCTGTGATTGGGTAAGTTATCTTTTCTATATATATTTTTCTATCCAGGGGTATATCCCATTTAGGATTTGGATCCTTGGCCAATAACACACATTGTTGAAATGGGGTGTTCCACAAAATCGCCAGTAGGTTTTTTTTTGCGATATATTTGCTTCATCAATATGACCATTCCAGACCATACTAACCCATGGACTTACATAGGTAAAACAGAAGAGGATAGTTGCTCATCCCCTGCCATCCCTTCAGTTGAATTAATCAGGGCAGTTTGCTTTTCAATATAGAGTTTTTGTGGTCACCAGTTGCACTGTCTCTGGTGTTGGTGTTCCTCTGGACTCTTTACCATGTTTTATCCCCCCTTGTTCTTCTTGTGAAGTATGGGAGTCCTTGCCACTTTCCAGTTCTGAGCCACTGGATTTGCTTCCATTCAGTAGAGAGTAGGGAGGTGACGTTCTATTGGTTTAGATGGTGTGTGATACTCCAATCATGTGCTCCACTTCCATGTGATTTGTCCTTGAAGTTGATGTTCCACCCAGTTTCTGTGTGATTCTATCTGAAGGGTGAGGTTGTTTATATTTTCTAGATACAATCCACTTTCATGCAATTGGACCCAGGGGATGATGTTGCACGTCTCTCAATAAATATACTCCACCTCTGTGCAGTGGGTCCCAGAGGTTGATGTTGCACCCACCTTCCGTGCAGTTCTGTCCTGAGGGTGAGGCTGCTATATATTTCTAGAGGTGACCCATTTCCGTGGGGGTGGACCCAGAGGGTGGCGTCGCGCTCTGGCTTCTGTGCAATCCCATCCGGATGGGATGTGATCTGCCACATGGGCCCCTTGACGTGGATTCCTGTACGTGGTGAGGGGACCTCTCAGGGAAGTTTCTGTATTTTCAGTTACTTTCTCTGTGATCTGAACATCCACCCACGTGTTTGCCATGTGTGGCGACCCGTGAAGGGGAGGAGAGGATCCTGGTGGTTGAGTGGTGTCTGGGGCACTGCAGCACACCACTTTGGCCTTGAATTCCTGTAGACAGGTGGCCTTGGGGTAGCCTCCTAGGGTCAATCGGCTGGTCCACTGGGGCTAGGGTCAATTGAGTACCAATGTTGGGCATTCTCAACGGGTGTTGTGGACACTGTGTCTGATACTGGTGTTTGTGTATAGTGTCCTTGTTTGACATTGTAGTGCATCCCCTCTAGGACTCCATGGCGGGTGGGGTCAA